AAACAACCCCACACCATAATCCCCCCTCCACCAAACTTTACACTTGGCACAATGCAGTCAGACAAGTACCGTTCTCCTGGCAACCGCCAAACCCAGACCCGTCCATCAGATTGCCAGATGGAGAAGCGCGATTCGTCACTCCAGAGAACGCGTCTCCACTGCTCTAGAGTCCAGTGGCGGCGTGCTTTACACCACCGCATCCGACGCTTTGCATTGCACTTGGTGATGTATGGCTTGGATGCAGCTGCTCGACCATGGAAACCCATTCCATGAAGCTCTCTGCGCACTGTTCTTGAGCTAATCTGAAGGCCACATGAAGTTTGGAGGTCTGTAGTGATTGACTCTGCAGAAAGTTGGCGACCTCTTCGCACTATGCGCGTCAGCATCCGCTGACCCCGCTCCGTCAGTTTACGTGGCCTACCACTTCGTGGCTGAGTTGCTGTCGTTCCCAAACACTTCCATTTTCTTATAATACAGCTGACAGTTGACTGTGGAATATTTAGGAGCGAGGAAATTTCACGACTGGATTTGTTGCACAGGTGGCATCCTATCACAGTTCCACGCTGGAATTCACTGAGCTCCTGAGAGCGACCCATTCTTTCACAAATGTTTGTAAAAACAGTCTGCATGCCTAGGTGCTTGAATTTATACACCTGTGGCCATGGAAGTGATTGGAACACCTGATTCCAATAATTTGGATGGGTGAGCAAATACTTTTGGCAATATAGTGTATATATATATATATATACATATATATATATATACATATATATATATATATATATATATATATATATATATATACATATATATATACATATATATATACATATATATATACATATATATATACATATATATATACATATATATATAGATAGATAGATAGATATATAGATAGATAGATAGATAGATAGATAGATAGATAGATAGATAGATAGATAGATAGATAGATAGATAGATAGATAGATAGATAGATAGATAGATAGATAGATAGATAGATAGATAGATAGATAGATAGATAGATAGATAGATAGATAGATAGATAGATAGATAGATAGATAGATAGATAGATAGATAGATAGATAGATAGATAGATAGATAGATAGATAGATAGATAGATAGATAGATAGATAGATAGATAGATAGATAGATAGATAGATGCATGCTGTATTTATCCTATGTTATTAGTGCAGAGAAACTGATTTAGTAAGTTTGAAAGGACACTGAATAAGATTGGGTGTCTTTGTGTGTTGGCTGTAAATAATTGGGTGTTTCCAATAAAACTAGTTCTTGATTGGTTCACAGTAACCACACACTCTAGTTCACACCCTCTGCAGTTTTCTCTTACATCACACTACTCTCCTCAGAACTCACTGAACAATGAAAACAGGATCATTCATGCTAGACTAGGCACGCAGGGTTTCCTAGGGGAATGAATTATTCCTTTTGTTTTTATTTTGGTGTCTGACAATCTCAGTTTTTAAGGAACAGTTATTCTGCAGATATGAGATGTATGCATGATAAAAATCAGCCAGTTACTTCAAGAGGTCACCAACCTCTGAATAGCACCAATTTGTGGCATTTACTGAATTTCCCTTTTGAGATTAATAAATTATTTGAGTTGAAAAGAAGCTCTTTCCTCTCATCTGCACTGTGAAGGTACATAAGAATCTGCACACATCTTCAGCAAAATAATTGACTCTGTACTGATAAATATTCTACATGAAACTGCTTTCTCTTTTAGCACTATAAGTCACTGGAATAATTTCCCAAATAAAAATTATACCCCATAAGTGTCTCAAAATGTTTTCAGATCTAGCAAAACAAAGACAAACAGCTGACAGGAATTTGCATTAGTTATATATGTGCAAAGGCACAGTGGGATGTGGAACATGATTTACTGGATATTTGCTGTATTGAAAGAAACTTTATTTGTTTTACCCACATTTTTTTCATGTACTTACAATTTCTCTAAGTTATATATGATTAAAATCTACTTATCAAAGGACTACAAGTAGAATATGAGGTCAGCTACAAGCATCTTTCCACTGAAATGCTCAATAAAATGCTGTTCATTGTCCTTCATTGTCCTAAAAGAGGCAATCATGACTTGTGGACCTAAACAGAAATATTTAAGTAGGTCTCCATGTTAAAGCTCCAAAACCACAGGAGTTTTTGTCCTACAATCTACATAGTTTAGAGTTCTTCTCTACAGGAAGTCTGAATACTGCTCCTCCTTCAGCTGCTGTCACTACTCGATCCATACAGGAAGCACCATCCATACCTTCAGCTCATTTGGGCACATATTCATCCAGGTCATCATAAATAATGTAATTATGGTACCAAAAGTACTTATTTCTATCCTTAAATCACTAAAGAATGCTAATTCACGTCTTTAAAAACATTTTCTCCCTTAAACTGCTTGTCTGACTTCATCATTGGACATGCTTAGAGTAGTTCGGCAAAATATGATTAAACCATGTTTATTTGCGTTTTGTTTCTTTACGCACTATATACCATAAGGTTAACACGAAAGGAAAAATTAAACTCAAAACTAGATCTATGTTTAAATCCAAAGCTGGAAAAGTTAGCTCCGGGATGTAGCATAGGATCCCATTTCCGGTTCTGATGGGCACAGACAAGTGATAAAACTGAAAAAAGGATTTTAGCATTTATATTCTTAGGAAATACATTATTAACCTTTAACACATTAAAGTTTAGAACGCTTACTATTTTTAGGGAGGGAAAATTTTAATTTAGGTCTATTTTACAAAGTAAAATCAAGGGCGACCTGGATGGATATCTGTTTGCACATGCGCAAATTAGTTGATGGCACGTATTCCGCTAGCGGTACGGATCGGGTAGTGACAGCTGTTGCTGCACACTGCTGCTCAGCTGGCTTAATAAAAGGCCAACACACAATTCTGTATAATAAGTATTATGGTAATAAGTACTTCCAAATCACAAAAACAAAGACAAGGAGCATCACTCGTCTCTTTTTTTCAGGAAACATTGGTTTCCTCTAAGAATTGCAGACTGGTTCTCACTTTAAAAGTGGTATTGGACTTTTTTCTGTTTAACTGTTGAAAATATTGGTGGCGGTGGGGTAAAGGGGGGGAAATTTCTTGTGAACTAAAAGGTAGCCCAGCAAGAATGGTTTGGGAACCACTGGTCGATTTAACCACCTGACATGAAATGCAATTTGAAAGGGAAGTATCTTAACACTAATAAAAGATTTAAAGTGTTTATTCACGTGTTTTTACTAGTGGATTAAAATAAAGAAACTGATTTTGTAGCTACGATTATTGTATCTCTAAACATCTTAGAATATTGGGTATAATTGTTTTCTTTTTCAAATAAAATGTTATAATATCATACATTAATGAGTACATTTTGCGTAACTGCTAAAGCATTTTTTTACTCAACACAAATATCCATTAACAATCTAATGTTGGCCCTGGCTTAGCTGGAGTTCGGTTAAATGAATAATCAAATATCCGTATAAAAGTTAAAACTCTTTCAGTTTCAGTATGTTTCTCTTTCAGTTTAAAAACCAAGGCAAAGTTCATAATGAGGGAATTATCACTTTTCAAACAGACTCAGTGTGTTGGTCTGACACGTCACATCAGCATTCAATGTTATTATTGCTATTTATCAACTATGTGACACAAAAGCTGATAGATAAGCATATTATCAAAAAAGAAACTTTGCTTAAGTTGGTTTGACTGACCAGATACTACGGAAGAGGATTAGGGCCACTGAAAAAAAAAAATTACAGATTTTTAAATATTTCAGTTTAACATGGGAAAAAAGTCAGAATTCTGACTTTTTTTCTTCAGAATTCTGACTTTTTTTGCCCCAGAATTCTGACTTTTTTTTGCCTCAGAATTCTGACTTTTATCTCAGCATTCTGACTTTTTCCTCAGAATTTTGGATCTTAATGTAGATGGGCACCATGAAGGAAGAGATATGGCAGCACCCAGCTTCACTGACAAAGATGTTAGTTGTTTGAGAGGCCCAGAGACACATTATTGGAAAATGAAGAAATTAGGCAACTTTTTACATGCCTGAGGCGTCCCTGGTGATGCTATTTCATTAATGGAGGAGCAGAAGGTGATTAAAACAAGAGAGCTAGTCTCTAAAACAGACATGGATACGGCTTGATGCTAACATGTTTCTTAGCTGTCAGAATTCAGACAGAATTCTGTGAAAAAACTCAAAATTCTGAGCAAAAAATCAGAATTCTGAGATTAAACTCAGAATTCTAAGGCAAAAGTCAGAATTCTGAGGAAAAAGTCAGAATTCTGAGGAAAAAGTCAGAATTCTTATTTTTAATCTCATATTATACTCAAATAAAATTCAAAAATCAGTTAACTTATTACATTTTTTCAGTGGCCGTCATCCTTTTCCGTATTTACCAGATACAAATCCACATGAATGCTGTAACATTTTCATTCAAACCAAAAGACGCATTTTAAAATCATTTTACCAGCTTTATAAAGCAACTCCACCTTTAAAGGCCTTACTGCTTACATGTTTTATATTTTGTCATCAAATGCTACTTTTACTTTGAAATTGGAATATTTGGCCTTAACCTATTCTGACTGTATACTTGCAGTATACCAAATAATTAGTACAACCATTCAGACAATTTGAATGCTTTCCAGTGTATTGAGAAAGTAACCTTAGCTGTCAAACATATTAATACAGAGTTAGGAAGGTTTAAGCTGCAGGGATTTAAAGGCAGCTAACCAGCAGCAGCCTCAGCTGTCAAACCACGAACGTCAACAACGGCGCTCATCCTGCCGACCTCAGATCCACACTAAGCTGCTGGCGCACCGCGTTGGTTCTTATTGCATTAAATAAAAGACGGGAAACGGAGAAGTGAAGCAAAAACACAGAAACAACTCAACAGAACAGAAATGAAAACAGTAGCAGCCCGCTGGCTGCGGCGGTCATTCATGCTAGCAGCAGGTAGTGGACAAACGGTTCGCTACCTTCAGGCTTCGCTAGGGTCTCCACCGAGGTCCGTCAGGGAGGAAAAAGGGGGGGTATACGTCCGCTTTGTGTTTTAATAAATTACTATTGGTGTGAAGATGTCAGGGGGTCTTAGAGCCGCACAGGAGTCACACTAAAGGCTGCACCTTGCGAGGCAGTGACGCTGAAATTACACCTCAGTGACGGAGAGTCGCTTTCCTCCTTCCGCGTTGCAGCCCGTGCGCCGTGACGTCAGTCACTCCTCCTTCCTCCTTGATTATGATTTTCCTCACCTATTTTTTGAATGTAAATTTTCACAGATATTCTGGAAAGAAGTTGAGGTTTACATCATATCGCACTCCAACACACCAATTAAATTACAAGGCAAAGATATTATCTTACACTATACTAATAATGATAGGAAAATGCAACTCTTGGTTAACTTGTTTATTCTAATTGCAAAATTCCACATTCAAAAAACCAAATCTTCCCTGTGTTTGAAAATGTTTTTTTTTTTAAATTACTTAAATTTTATCCAAAGAATCAACAATCAAAAAATGTTTACACACTGTTAATGTAATTCAGGAAATATTTGGAGAAATGTAATAAAACTTGCCCTTTTTTTTTTTTTAAATCTCTTCTGTTATTTATTTAAGTTAAATTATGTTATGTCTTAATTCTAACTGTACTCCATCATTGAACAGTTATTTTGGTTCTATATCCTGTGATATTTTTTGTCAATGTTTTGTAATTTGCAACTCCTCAATAAAGGTTTGGATTGGAAAAAAAAGATTATGATTTTCCTTTTATAAGTAAGAAAACAACCAACAAAAGGTTAAGAAATTAAATTTTTCACCAACTTGTATATTTTATTGGTCCAACACTTTTGAAAATATAAATTGGAAGTGGACTTGGTTGATTCTTAAAAAATACTTAATAAACAATAAAGTAAGAGAAATTTCTTATAAAATTATTTATAATGTTTATCCTGTTAAAGCATTTTTGATAAAAAAAAAAAAAAGATATAAATGGGTTTTGGACCCATTGTGTACTTTTTGTAAAAATAATGAAGAAAAGCTTATTGATCTTTTTTGGGATTGCAATTATACCAAAATAATTTTGGAGAAATATGTCTTTTTTTTTTCCATCAAAAAATATCTTAACATTAAGGATGTTTTGTTTGGGATGGAGAAATGTGAACTTGTCAAAACAGAATTTTTATGTGTTATAAATTGTTTTATTATTTATGGTAAATATCATATTCACACCTCCAAATATTTACAACAAACACATAATTTCCAGATTTGATCATCTTCTATTAATATCTATATAGAATCCTTAAAATTTAGTTCAAATGCTAAAGCCATGACAATATAATAATTATTACTGCCCTCAAAGAATTATAACACTCAAGCATGGATTTGATTTTGACATTTTAAAATGATAGTTCTGTTCTGTAAAGCCCTTTGTTGTTTTATATATTTGTAATTATTAATGTTCTATATTGTACATGTGTGTTATTTTTTTGCAAAAAAAAATAAATAAATCCTCCTCCTCCTGCTGCTTCTCCCTGCTTCAACCACAGCATCCTCCGCTCGTGGTCAGGGCAAGTCCAGTTTACTTTTCATGTGTGCTCAGAACAGAAAACTAACAAACACAAAAAGCAACAATGAAAAAAAAACAGGACAAGAGCGCATTTAATACAGCAAGTGAGGCACACAGCGAAGGTTGCAGACCCCTGATCCAACAGATGAAAAATGGGATCCTATTTTAGTAAGACTGAAGCTAAATAACTGTTGAACCAAATGCAAAGGAGAAATATTAAATTAGTCCAAGGAATAAATTTAATGCAATTCAGTTTATTTATATAGCGCCAATTCACAACACATGTCATCTCAAGGCACTCTACAGTTCACCAGATCATACAGTCAAATTAATTCAAAGTTTTCTATCTAAGGAAAACCAGTTTCTTGCATCGACTCATTGACTATTCAGTAATCCCTCACACTAAGCATGCTTGTAGCGAAAGTGGAGAGGAAAAACTCCCTTTTAACAGGAAGAAACCTCCAGCAGAACCAGGCTCAGTGTGAGCGGCCGACTGGGGTTCAAGGAGACAGAATCAAAGATACAAAAGCAGCTGTAAAAGGCGGCCCCAAATCACTTATGATCATAGGTATCAAAAGTATTAATTTTTACTACTCAAGTAGAAGTAGAAATCCTACTGTTTAATAACACTTTTGTAGAAGTTGTAGAAGAGTATCCACTTCAGCTTTTTACTCAAGTAAAAGTGTAAAAGTGCAATTTTAAAACCACATAAAGTGTAAAGGTAATGCAGGAAAAAAAGTAAGGACATATGCTTTACTGCACTTCCTTTTAGGACATTTTTCTGCAATTCTGGATGATAATTTCCTTACACCTAATTTTCTAAGTTTTATAATTGTAACAATGTCAAATCTAACTTTGCATCATCTTGAAAAAAAAAAATCTGTTTTTTGTTATGTAGTGAACAGCAAGATGGTACAGCACCAACAACATTGTCTGGATGAAACAAGTTATTTTGATGGTTTTTCTTTTTTTAAATACCAACAGGCCATAAAAAAATAGCTTAAAGCAAACAAAAATAACAATTCTATTTTCAAAATGTAAGGAGTAAAAAGTTGTTAAAAAAAAAAAGATTACTCCAGTAAAGTATAGATAGCCAAAATGTCTACTTAAATAAGATATACATGGTCTAAAATATATATATATAAAAAAAGGTGTTGAATAAGTGTATTTGCACTTTGAGTAGGTAATTATGGTGATCTGACAAAGGAATGTGTTTTTGCTTTTAAAACCTAGGATTATTTGTTGGCCCCTGTTGGAACCTGTCTAGAATTTCCCAAAGAGGGCTTGTTTATTGAGTTTCACCCAAAATGGGTAAAACTTTCTCGTTTGGCAAATAAGGCACCAACATATAAAGGAAGCTTTTTATGTCTCTTTGTGTAATATTTTTGCATAGTAAGATCATAACGTATACAACTTGAAATTTAGATGGCAAATAACACAAAAGAAAATGCTTAGTTAAACCGAAGAAACTGTAAGAAAATGTTGATTATATTAAAAAGTATATAAAATGCAGATCTTTAAAAGGACTATTATTCTGATGCAACTGTGCTGAAATATGCCAACCCAAGGTATGATGGGAAAATAATGGCTTATTTCATTCCAGAGCTTTGATTCACAAAATTGGGGCCATGATCCCACTTGGGGTCACAGATCAACAAGTATGGAGTCTTGAAATCCTTTAACTTTGAAGCATTTTTAGGTTAAAAGATATCAAAACATCACTTACAAATAGAAAAAAAACAAAACAAAAAAACAAATATAGATCAGTTGTATATATGGTTAACAGGGTTTTAGAAATGTTTATATTGAGACCATTTTTGGTTTCCTTTTGTGGGTCATATGCTACAAAATTTGGGAACCTCTGCTCCACAGAACCAGGAGTCTAATTTAAATGGATGTTTCATTCATTGATGCATTTATATATTATGCATTTGAGAACATATATTTGTTGACCATAAGACAGCTTGGGAACGAAGGCGGACTTTCTATTTCAGGTCTTCAGAAGAACAGTGTTTATAAAAGGAAATGGAAACAAAAAGGAACAATTTTGCTTTGTGTGTATTTAAGTTGATGCACATTACTTGGTATTTTTCCCTACTTGAGCTGATCAGTTGGCTGAGGTACACATTATGACACATGAACAGCTTTTTCCAGATCTGGCAACGTAATCATGTGGTGCATGGTTGCCAGATTTCCTATTTTCTTGCTTGCATCTCAGACATTTAGCTTTAGCTGGACAATTTTGATATAGGCAAACTTGGGAGAAAAAACATGTTGTCTCACATGCAAATGAAGTATGGAAAGAAAAAAAAAAAGTAAAATGAGATGAAGGTTCCAGCACCGAGTCTGTCCGTAGAGAGCACGCAAACTTAAACATCCACATAGAGAACACTATAACCCTTCTATTTAAAAAAACAACTTTTTCTTCTTTTCAGAATGACATCTGACATTTCTCTGACAGCTTTGTGTAATCTTGGCTTTGTAAAGAATGATAATCTTAATGTTTGGACCAGATATTGTAGATTTGAGAATGTATCTAATGAAACAGACTCCTAAAAAAAAAAAAAAAATCATTTTTATTTAGCACCTAATGTGAAGCTGCAAAATAAACATGTTTTTCACACTTAATTGTTGCATTTTTATCTATCCAGCTTTCCCTCTGATGCAAAGTTTTTCTTAAATCAAGTTTACTGCCTATCTTTTAGTTTTCCCTTTTTTTCATTATGCTCGATAATGTGTCAGCTTTGCTTGTTTACCTATTTCACTTTTTTTTTTCGTGACACTTTTCCTATTTTTTTTTTCTATTTGTGTTTAATCTAATTGAGGGAATAAGCTTAATGGTAAATAAAACAATCACCAAAGGTGCCGTTTTAAATTATGAAAGAAAACTTTTTTTTCCCCATACATACATAATATTTTATGAATTATGCGTCTTCATTATCTCTTATACCTGTGTGATACAGAAAGTGTTATACCGGTACCCATATCTGTTTTCTTGGAGGACAGTTTGTTCTAAAAAGTGATGTCAGACAAAAAAAAAACTACAATAATAAGGTACGGTAGTTGATGAGATAATACCTAAAAGAAACAAGCTATTTTTTAGATACCTTTGTCTGAGTTGTAAGAATTTTATCTTACAGATAAACAGATGACATCTTAAATACAACTGAATGCTTATCATAGGTGGAATCACATCCCCTCAGATAAAGCCTACATATTTCCAAATATTTATTACCATTCAACAGTAAATAAACATTAAAAATACCATTAAAATAGCAGCAGAAGCTTACTAAGCATCACTTATTCCATATTGAACACAATTCAGAATAGTTTCAGTTAAATAATAGCTCTCTGAGAGGTTCAATAGAGTGGGGATCTTGGCTCCTCCAGAGAAATCCAGTGTTTCCTAGGTGGTTATCCCCCCCCCACACACACACACACACACAGAGAAAAGGTATCTGTGCTCTTTTGTTTTGGATTACCTTCTTGTTTCTAATAACAGAGCTGACATGCCAAAAAGCATACATTCGGTCTAATCAATGCAAAAGAAGCTCTCCCAGAAATGTGGAGCTTGTCAAAATGCATTCTGACCATCTGAAGATTTTTTATCGGAGTGTGAACATCTATGGAGCACAC